ATCATTTATAATAAATCGAACTTTGGTCTGACTTGGCAACAGCAGACTGCCATTTCACATACACACCTATATATATATATATATACTTATGCGTTTTTATCTTTTTCACTAAATCTCATTATTAGAATAGACCTTGTTGAGGAAGAACTCCAGTGTTTCTTAACCCACTGGCATGAGTTGGCTATGGGACGTCTGCCAGTTTAAGAGGCGTTAAGTACTTTGCTGATTATGTCATGTTATTGGATGAAACTCAGAATGAAGTGTTTTCACTTAATGTATTAGCTTTGCTGTGTATAGTTAATCTTGTGATATTTTGTATTAACTTTTTAATATTTTTATTTAATATGGGTGGGTAATTTGAAGACTCAAACAATTCAATGGGTGAATCTTCAGTAGTAGTTGCCAGCGAGTGCTTCGCATCGCGCTCCGGCCTGTACCCCTGAGGGAGAGCCCCTAATACTCACTGGATAGACCGAATGGGTCCCAGAGTCGGTCTGAACGCGGTGGTCACCCCCATCGGAAATCAAATCTGAATTCTCCTGGTTCTCAGTGTGAAGTCACTGTCTGAGCTACCCGGGGCCTCCCAGTTTGGGAGCCCCAGTAACACATGTCTGCGGCCCTGACTGCAACTGAACGATGTGTCAGGAGGTTTAATTGTTAAAGAGAACAAAACAGACAGAACTGTGGCAATAAAGGAAGGAGAAAATGCGTACAGCATTGGCACACGCCCCTGTCACAGGCTACCAGCCCTCTTCATCTGTTCCCAATGCATTACTGATGCTGGCATCACTGGCAGAAATTCGCAATGCTTTCATTTTTTAAAATTTAATTTTTAATATGCTTTTCGCTGAAGGGCACGATCTCCTGGACTGTAACACCGTATAGTTTGGTGGATGTATACCGACAATTCGTCGGAACGTACAGTCGCCTCCATTTTCACAGCCTAGAAGTAAGCCAAGCAAGAAACTAACCTGTTTATTGCTTCTGTCGCAACAATGCATCATTAGTAAGTTATATTCGTTGTGCCCGTCTGTCGGCATGAAATGGTTAAGATTCTATATCCTTTTTAGCGTTTGACTAAAGTTCGTTGAGAAAATTGAATTTTGGTGCATAATGGGCAAGATGAACCAAAATTCATTTTTCTCAAGAAAATTCATCAAACGCTAAAAACTATAATTTTGCTTGTGGTTCTGTACGGACGTGAAACTTGGTCTCTGACATTAAGGGAGGAACATAGACTGAGGGTGTTTGAGAACAGGGTGCTGAGGAGAATATTTGGACTGAAGAGAGATGAAGTGACAGGAGGTTGGAGAAAACTGCATAACGAGGAGCTCCATAACTTGTTCTCTTCTCCAAGTATAATTAAAATGATCAAGTCAAGGAGGTTGAGGTGGGCAGGGCATGTAGCACGAATGGGATAGACTAGGAATGCATATAGGATATTGGTCGGAAAACCAGAAGGATAGAGACCACAGGGAAGACCAAGGCGTAGGTGGGTGGACAATATTAAAATGGATCTTAGAGACATAGGATGGGATGGTATGGACTGGATTGATCTGGCTCAGGATAGGGACCAGTGGAGAGCTCTTGTGAACACAGTGATTAACCTTCGGGTTCCATAAAATGCAGGGAAATACTTGAGTAGCTGCAGATTTGGCTTCTCCTCAAGAAGGGCTCAGCTCCAAGAGTAAGTAAGTAAAGTGGGCAAGATGATCACTGAAATTACAGATGTAATTATATCAAACAAAAATCAATTTCAGTACCCCCCTATAATAGTTGCTTCATAAATAAACGAACATAAATTACAATGAGAAAGCTGCGTTAGACAGCAAGGAATGCATAGTTCCATTCTTGCATGATACAGTTTGATGTATTCTGACAATCTGAGTGACGTATTTGGGCGTTGGCCTGGTAGAGAGCTTGGTAAAGGTGAAAGGTAAAGAATATTTCGCTACCTTCATGACCTAATTAGGACCCTTTCCCTCCACCTCCACCCCCCGCAGTTAAAAATAACTCAAATGTCTGAATCCCTGCTCACAATAACGCCAAATTCTCAAACACTGTGATGAAAGTTGCCACATACATTCTTGAAACATGAGTCATGAGAAGCTGTAATAAAAATACGCGGTCGTCTTGTGAGAACAATCACAATATCTCTGCCGGGTAGATTACACGCCATTGCCAGCTTTTTTCAGTTTAAATTATGTATACATAATATCCCATGTGGAGGCGGGTTAGAATACCTCCACCGTAGCCCTGTGAGTAGCAGAAGGCGACGAACCACGTACCTGGGGGTATAACTGGGCCACCCTGTCACTAGGGGACATAAATACAGAGACTTAGTCCTCCAGGTTGGGGGTTTAAAAAAAGATTGTTACGAAATCCGAAGAAATGAAAACCGGATGCACTCTGGCAGGATCTTCTAAGGAAGACTACGGCTCAAAAAGGGCTGTTTTGTCAATGATCATGATAATGATGTTGCATGGAATGTATGGATAAGTGCAAGTTGGTGGTCAGGATTGGAACAAAATAAAATCATATATTAATTTTCATTTAACAAAACGTAAAAGAACGGGACTGAAAATATGGTGCCCCTAAAATCGTGCCGTCTCAAGAAACCTTTTGGGTCATACGCACTGATTTAACTATCTATCTGCGCCTCTACTGCCCTTTCTTTTGGACCTTGGCCTCTTCTTTAGTTTCTTTCCCTTTTACGCAGTCGGTGTACTTTCTGGACAGGGGATAAGCCCGTTGCAAGGCCGCTACCTGCACACAGACACTCATGCCTCGAGTTGGATTCGAACCCACGATCCCAGTGTTTGAGCGGGCGAAGACGGTTCATATCCTATACCGCGCTGTGATCGGCACACACTGTTTGGCTGGCCCTAATTAATGAATGCCCTTCCATTTGTCTTGCAATTCCAAGGGACACAATGATGTCATGGCACCTTGACGCAACCTGATACCGGTACAGTTGTAAATATTAACGGAAGACATTAAGAAGTAGAACTCTGGGTTCTGGGTTGGAGCCTGGTGATGCTACAGAAAGTTGAATCAGTAAAGAAGTGTACAAATCAGAATTCAGACACTCAGGCCAAAATATTTTGTTTCCTCCCGACAGCTCTTTACAGGAGGAATGTGAAATTCCTTGACGTGGTACAGAAAAGAACTGAAGATGTCACAAATATTTCGTGAATTCAGTTTTTATTCAACATCTGATCTTAGCGTAAATAACTGTGGTTGCGTTGTACAGTTGAAGTGTTTATGTTGAATTGGTCCAAAAATATCCGTCTTCCATTTCTAAGGTATTGAACCAGCATCTGTAGGGTCTCCCCCAAGGTCTTCATCCTTTTGGCACGAATTTAGAATAGGGATCATCGGTGGGGCATTCGAAGTCGGGTTGGTCATCGCATATATAATTCTTTCGCTATGTGTAAATTAATTCTTTTAAATGAATTTCAACGTTGCAGTAAATTTTATTAAACTCAAATTTCCGTCTATTAAACAAATCCTGTCCTTTATATTACCAATAAGTATGAAAAACATCGTTTCCAACGATGATGTCTCTTTACTCGTACATCGGATAAGAGAGATAATTAAAAATTAAATTCGCTTAGTGGGGAGTGGAGTCCAGCTGCGTCCACTCGGCACGGCGGCCACTGATTGGCCTATTGTACCTGCCCCGCGTGATTATGATGATGGAGAATTTGGTGGAATGAAGATTGGCAGTGGAAACCGAAGTACTCGGAGAAAACCCTCCCCAGCGCGACTTTGTCAACCACAAATCCCACTTGACCAGACCAGGGATTGAACCCTGGCCGCCGTGGTGGGAAGCCAGCGACTAACCGCTTGAGCTATGGCGCGGCCATGAGACAGATGAAGTAACAGAATTTAGGTCGATTGTAGGCCTATGAATCAATGTAATCAGTAACTTCTTCCATTATGTTACAACCATTTGAAAGCAGATATAGAAAGTAGACCGCCTCTGTGGTCTAGTGGTGAAAGTTTCTGGCTACAGATCCAGATGTCTGGGTTCGATTCCCGGCGCTACCAGATTTTCTGAGAAGTAGTGGGTCTGGAATGGGGTCCACTCAGCCTCGTGAGGATAATTGAGGAGCTATTTCAAGGAAACGGCGGCACCGGTCTGGAAAACCGAAATTAATAGCCGTGGGGATTCGTTTCGCTGACCACGCGACGCCCTCTATCCATTAAAGATGGCATTAACCTCGCCGACAAACGGCGGTCGCTCGGTCGGCATAGTTCGCTTGCCGGCTAAAACCACGGAGTTTGTTTTTGCAAAAGTGTAAACATGCTGAGTAACCAGACACAGAGCTATTTCGCGTTGCGACAGTCTGAATTTGCTACGAAACTGACCACGTGTTTATTTCAGTTAGTTTTAATAGTTCTCCCTGGATGGCCCCATTGCGGAAGAAGAAGAAGATTATAGGATAAACGTGCTTATTTCATGTTAGGCCCTTCCAGTTCACCACGAACTCAAGTACCTTGTTTCGTGTTATGACAGTAAATTCTATTCACAATTACACATATATCTGCTCCTCACTTCTTTTTAATGGGTCTTCATAGACGTCTCCATTATGGGAAAAGAAAGTATGATTCTTTCTCAGCCGGTAGAAGCCCATGGCGCATGTGGTGAGTGAATATTTCAGAACTTACCGCTGATGACAGAGTGTACCGCTACTCACCTCCTCTATCATGTCCGCTACAAAATCCATGTGAGACAGAAGGTCTGCATTGGGTCTGTCCTCAACGTCGACCTTATAGTACGCAACCTCTCGGTCATTGGGTAATGGAGTGTCCGGTAGCTCAGAGGCAGCGTTCACAACACAGGTGACTCCCATTTCTCGCAGCAGCCCCGGGTTGACAGCGGGTGCAGCACTGAGCAGTAGAGATGACGTCACCTCGCACACTGACGTAAGCGGAGACTTCGAGATCGGCCTGCACGTAAGGCAAAATCACATACAGAGGACTGAAAGCGTGGAAGGAGCTTCTGCCCACAGTTCAGGCAAACTGACTCGGACTGTACTACTACTGTGTGTAATATTTTATGTACTTATATAGTTCAGCCGGTATAACTAGGGACTATGGGCTGGACGGCCGAGGAATTTGGGTTTGATTCCCGGCAGGGGCAAGAGATTTTTCTCTTCGCCACCCCGACTGTAGGGCTCACCCTCTCTCCTGTCAAATGGGTAGCGGGGGCTGCTTCCCCTGGGGTAAAGAGGTAGGGACGTGAAAGCGGCCTCCGTAGTCTAAGGGGAACGTTCCCACCTCATGACTCACGGTACGCGGGTTCAAACCCGGCGGAGGTCGTGGAATTTTTAAGGGCGGAAAAATTGAGGGAACAAGTCCTCCGGGAGGGACTTTAAACCGTGGGTCCCTTGTCGTAGATTTACGGCACGTATAAGAACCTCATGTCTCTAGGAGACCTCTGAGCTAAATTTGGCCAAAAAGTTTCCCGCCCAAAGTAGTTTCCAATGCCTCCGGTAGATGGGAGAAATATTAGGTACCACTGCCAGAGGAGGGGGGACCTCTCTGACAGAAAGGGACTAACTATTAGATACCACTGCCAGTAGAAGGTTGGAACCTCGCTGGCAGAAAGGGGCTGATAGTAAGCACCAGTACCGGTAGGGAATGGAGACAGTAGAAATTAAAATGGGGGCGCACAACGGACCAATAACTGGTCTAAGTGCATGGGGAAGCCCACCCCCTCAATACTGAGTACTGAATACTGAATAGGGACGTGAAGCTGACCATTCACCTCCATCTACTGCCGAGTTAAAGAATAGTGAAACAATCCCTCCACTCCTCATACGCCTTCGTGGCGTGGTGCTGAATTAATTACGGGAAAATGTACTTTAATTCATGATTTATGCCATGACATTTATTTGATTTGTAGCGTAAATTGATAGGATGGAGCAATTAGTTAGTTAGTAAGTTTCTTATTTCGACAGGATTAACCCTTCTTCTTCTTCTTCTTCTTCTTCTTCTTCTTCTTCTTCTCCGTTTTAAGAGGAGAACTTTAACACATACGTTGTTGAAGGAAGAATAATGTTGGGGGGGGGGAGCGCACGAAACAAACTGGCGGGCAGCCAGTGTGTCAGCCCTGCTTCAAAGTATCACAAAGTGTGTATGACTGTGAACATGCTCCCCAGTGAGAGACATGCAGTCACGATGTACATGCAGGAAGGACGATGTTATTTTGGTAATGGCACAGTGCAATTAGTGTCTTCGTGTTTGTCCACGTTGGTGATGATGTTAGGTATCAACGTACTCCCAGCTGACTCATCGCACATTCACGTCTTTTCTTCTTAGGCGTAACTTCAGTAACGCATTTTGCAATTAAGCATGACGCATTTTCAAATTACCTGTAAAATTGTGAACACTACAGAAAGAGCACGTCTTTTGCGTAATTTATCATATATCAGTTCAAAGGAAATGTATATTTAATTTGCAACATATCAATTGAAGCGAAAGATATATTTGATGTTATTTAGTCTGGTAGAAGTTTGTCGAAATTTCGGAAGCATTTACTGCCTCTATCTTCAAGGTCAAATAGTAGGCGGAACAGAAAGCGGCAAGAAAGGTGCAAAGCAAAAAGAATTAATTTTTAAAATTAGTTAGGTTGGGAACTTGAAAATGAAGCGCTGAGGAGAGCATTTGAACGCACAAGAGATCAAGGCAATAAAAGAAATAAAAAACGTAGAACTTTATGATGTACACTCATCGTCTGTTGTTGTATGGTTAACCTTCTAAAGCACAGTGGTTATTTTATGTAGGCTGCTGTAGAATTCAGCTCTCGTGCCTTGAAATTTGAGGTAGCAGGTCCCTCATCAATGTTTGTAACGATGTATCAGATTAAATTTCCATAATCACTGCCGTGCAAACCTCGATTCTTAAGCGTGTACCAGTGATGGCCTCGGACCGGTTTCTGTTGAACATCACCTATAGTAAAAATATAAGCGGCCTCCGTAGTCTAGAGGTAACGTTCCCACCTCATGACTCGTGGTACGCGGGTTCAAACCCGGCGGAGGTCGTGGAATTTTTAAGGGCGGAAAAATTCAGGGAACAAGTCCTCCGGGAGGGATTTTAAGCCGTGGGTCCCATGTCGTAGCTTTACGGCACGTAAAAGAACCTCATATCTCCAAAGGAGGTCACTGAGCCAAATTAACGGACGTTTCCCCCCCAACACGTAGTCTCTAACACCTCTGGTAGATGGGGGAGGCATTATAGATACCTCTCAGCTAGTAGAGCCGGACTCGCTGGCTGGGCGGGACTGATGGTACTCACCAATATCGGTAGGATATAGAGACTGGTAGAATATCATAGAGGGAAGCACAGTGGACCAATACTGGTCTAAGTGCATGGGGAAACCCACCCTCTCCAATAACTAACTAACTATAGTAAAAATATAGGTGTATGTCGAGTATCTGATGTAGGAATATTAACAAAGGGCTATTCGCCGATTTTCTTCCAGTCCTATAGAAAGCAGGAGATTAAACTTATTTATTTAAGATAGCATCGTCAGCATATTCATAAAACTCAAAAAGATTTGAGACCAGAGCTGTGCAATGTATTGATAAAAAATGTGCTATGTTTTCTGGTTACAGCTTACCGATTTCCAACATATTATTTTAGGACAACGGGACTCTTACTCAAATCCCTCGGATGACCGAAAGGTTGCAGTTCGAGTCTCGGTGGGGTCAAGAATTTTCTATTCTCCACGTCGTCCTGACCGGCTCTGGAGTCCACCCACCCTCCTATCCAGTGGGTACCGGTAGTAAAGCGGCCAGGGTGTGAAGCTGATCATTCACCTCCAGCTATTGCCGAGGTCAAGAAAATGTGGAGCTACACTTCCATTCCCCCATACTCCTTCATGGAGTAGTGCTTAATTGGTTAAGCACAGGGACAACTGTACCTTTTGTCATTATTTTAGGACAACGGCCGTCGATTTGGCTATTATTGTCATATTTGCTTAATTTCAGAAAATAAAACTAAATTTATTTAAGAAGAAGAATACACGAAACGTCGCCGTTATATAAGTTGTACCTGTGAACATCCTAGGGAGAAGGGAACCAAGAAAACAGTTGTGGTTGACACTTTTAAGCCTAAAATGTGTATGAATAATGCTTACAAATTCAGTTCTTACCTCATAGAGAACACACTGGGTCTCGTTTTCGAAAGTCAGTCTGATAATAATGTTTAGGAAAATAATAGCTGTTTATTCTGAGAATTTTAAGAAACGCGTAAATTCACTGTGAAGGAGGGAAAGAAGCTGAGTACTTTTTACTGTTGAAGCTGGTGGCGCACATAATAGCCACGTTGTTGAGGCACTATGCTACAAGCCGGAAGGTCGCGTGTTCAAGTCTCGATGAGGTCATTGGATTCTTTTCAATTGACCTAAACCTTCCAGCCGCGCTATGGCCCTGGGTTCGACTCAACCTCTAACAGAAATGAGTACCAGGAATTAATTAAATAATTTTCCTGGGGAGTAAAGCGTGGCCGGCGCGTAAGGCTGACAACCTTACCGCCATCTTCGAGCCGATTGTCTAGATAATGTGGGACCCTCAACGTCTCACAGCCCTATGGGCCTTCACGGCCAGGTACAGGGATAGCTTTACTTTACTTTAATTTACTTTGAAGAGTTACTGGGCTCCTGCTTTCGCCCTCACGCCTTCTTGACGCATTCTGAAGCTCTCCAGATCATACAGAAATAAAAACGGATGACGCGGCCCCTGCTACATTCGCTTGTTTCAATCGCGACCGATGGCATCTGGAAGGAGAACCTTGCTGCCCGCAATTCTTCCCACATTGTTACAACTGGTGAAGCGAGGGGTAGCCTATATGCAAGGAGAGATAGGCGACGAGTTTCTTAGCCTGTTCGTGAATTTGAAATTGTCAGAAAAACGGAATCTACAGGACTCCTCGTTTTAGACGCATGACAGATATTTATGTATTTATTTAATGACGGTGTCAGTGATTCAGATTAGATCTTTGTGGCGTCGAGTGATTAATGGAATGGATATGAAAGGAAGCGACCGTAGGCTAATTTGAGACACTACCTCGACTGGAGGTACTGAGCAAAATCATAAAATATCTCTCATACTATATTATATGTCCCAGTCTATATTCGAACGCGGAATCTCACGAATAAAGGGTAGAAGATTTACAGCTTAACTATCTTGCTCATTAAGTACACACTTCAGCGAGACTAACAACTGTACTCCATACTTAGGTTCAGTTAAGTTGTTCTACAATACATACGTCATAACTGTGTCAGCCATTTTGTTAGGATGGGAACCTGAGGTAAGAACGGTAAAGCTATCCCTGTAACAGGCCGTGGAGGCCCATAGCGTTGCGAGACGTCGAGGCTCCCACATTTTCTAGACAGTCGGCTCACAGATGGCAGTGAGGTTGTCAGCCTCACGCACCGACCGCCCGTTACCCCCAGGAAAATTCGTAGTACTCATTTCTGTTAGAGGCTGAGTCGACCCCAGGGGCATAGTGCGACTGGAAGGATTAGGTAAATTGAAGAATCCAATGACCTCATCGGGAATAAAATCCGCGACCTTCCGGCTTGTAGCATAGTGGCTCAACCAGCTACGCTACCGCGTGCCCCCTGTGATTGGAACACAGTCGACGAATTATAGGCCTACTTCTGTCCCCCCACCCCCACCCCCAACGTCTAAGTACCATACAAAGAACAAGTTAGGAAATTAAGTACACAATTTTCTGGGATGTGACACAGTGTAGTCCGACGAATGTTCACTGACGTTTCGGGGAGAGAACTTCCTCCATCTTCAGGGTCGAAGAAAAATATATGCAAGCAGGCCTCTATGAACGACACTTGTCAGTAGCTCAGACTTTAGGCTATAGCGCTGAATAGCGGGTGATTAGTGAATGACGAAGTGGAAAAATGAGGAAAGAAGCTGTTGTGATCCAATTTGAGTTTCTATCCCGGCGTTTGCCTGGAGGAAGAAAGGAAACCCATGAAACCCCTCAGTCGTGGTTCTTGGCCTTCGGGCCGACGTTTAAGAACTGTAGAGATAAAGAAAAGAAGAATTTATGAATTCGTAACTCTGTGTTGATGCGACCTGAATATTCTCACTTGTTAGAATAGACTTCTCCTTTGGAATGATTCTTTCTTCTTCGAGTTTTGAAACGTCTTCACGTACGATCTTCATGTTGATATAAATGGAATGTCACAAGGAACGTAATCACAAATTTCTTTGACTAAAGAATAGCAAATTATCTCCAAGAAATTCAAGTTTATATCTTCATATTCACATGTTCGTAAATTACACAGATTTAGAATTAAAATAACCTCACTTGAATCGATACCAGGACTTCAGCCTCCTTCATGACAAGATTACTGCGGGCTGCGATTGTCTCCTATCCCACAACCCCGCTCACTTTAGCGCTGTGCTGACGCATCTGAAGTCGACGCGCGTTTCAAACATTCGCTATTCATTGCTCACCTGTTTTGGGGGATTCCTCTACTCTGCGCATGCTCAGAAGTAAGATAAACATCATTAACGAATGTAACGATTGTTATTTTTGACTGTCTTCACTATACATCGGAATGTTAACACAAAAGTGGGCGGTTTATATTTTAAAGTGAGTTGAATAAATTATTCTATAATTACTGTATATGACTATTTTTATGTAAAGTCAACACGCAATGTTGAACAGGAATGCAGTCAACATTATTGAGGATTCTAATATTAGAACACAGGATACATGCGTCATACAGGTAGCGCAAGGGGATATGGGGATTTGGAATGACTGCAATTTATTACGTCCTATTATAGGATCAATAAAAAGTAAGTTTAAATTAACGATACTGCAAAGAATAGAATTTACTTGCGTTTCTCTTCAGGAAGAACTTTCTCAACATCATGTGTCTAGTCAGACAGTAGTGTTCTCTTGCTCTCTCTGTTTGTGGTTACTTGAATGACGCGCACACTATATAGCATCAATGGTAATATGATCAGAGCATACCGAATTGGAAGTGGCCGTGGCCTAATTTGAGACACTGTCGCGATATTTTCCTGCGTGGACTGAGGAAAATCATGAGATACCTCGGTAAGGATAATTGTATCCCTACCGAGATTCGAACCTGACAGACTCGTTACCACGTCAGCAGCCTGCTCGGTATGGTTGTCTTATTGCTACAGAAGGTTCATTACCGTGTTCACAATAACCCGCCACTGGTCCATATTCTGAGCTAGATTAATATAGTTTACAGCACCCCATCCTATTTCTGCAAGATCCGTTTTAATATTGTCCTCCCAGTTACTTCTAGGTCTTTCTAGTGGTCTTTTATTCCCCGGCTTTCCTACCAAAACCTGTATGCATTCGTCATCTCTCCAATGCGTGCTAAATACCCTACCTCTCTCTCTCGCTCGCTCTCTCTCTCTCTTTTTTTTTTTTTTACTTTATCACTCTAATTATATTTGGCGAAGAGTAAAGTTATGAAGCTCGTTATTAGGTAGTTTTCTCCAACCTCCTGTCGTACGATCCCTTTTCTGTTCAAATATTCTCCTCAGCAACCTGTTCTCAAACACAGACAGTCTGTGTTCTTCCCTTAATGTCAGAGTCTAAGTCTCACACCCAAGTCTTACACAAAACTACAGGAACAATCGTAGTTTTGTGTATTTTAGTCTTTACGTCTTTAGACAGCAGACGAGAAGAAAAATATTTTGGACTGAATGGGGGAAAGGATTACCTGGATTCTTGATACTCTTAATTTCGTTGCGAATTAAATTTCTATTTGTTACTGTGGTTCCCAACTCTCTGAATTTTATCACATTTTCACTGGATCTTTTAGATAATTGGAGAAACGAATTCAATTTCATCTTCATGTCTTTATAAAAGTACGTGTATCTATACCTCTACTCCCCCATACAACTTAATGGTGTAGTGCTTACCTACTGAAGCACAGGGATAGCTTTACGTTTATGTCGTTATGGCTTACTTGTAAGGCGGTTGACGTTCAGGAAACCTGTTTATTACAAGTCCATCTGTGATCCAGGCCTACGGGTATAAGATTTTAGTTTTTCGGACGAAGATCTTTATTGTGGCTTTTCTTTCAGCTCTGGCGCCGTGTCGCCTGGTAGATCTTGTCTGTCCAAAATATCGTTGAGGGTACGCCGTACCATTACAGAGGAAGAAGATCCTTGTGTTGTGAACGAGATCTGCGTTATGGCGTTTGTGTTTCGCATTTTATGTTGAAAACAGAATGCAGTAACTTTATAGTCGTGACGTAACCATCTGTGTCGCTATCTGATGAAGATGCAATAGTCTAGGTACCAACGTCTTGGGGGGGGGGAAATACATCCTCCGTTTTTGCCCTGAATATTGAGGCAATATGTTTCTCCGAGACGTTAGTATCTCAGACGAGACTGCATGACATCCTAATCCATAAGACAATATATTTCATTTATGTTATTTTATTTACTTTATTTATTCAGCTTATATTTACACAGGGTAGCACGCGGTAGTGTAGTTCGTTGAGGCACTGTGCCACAAGCCGGTAGGTCGCGGGTTCGATTCCCAATAGGGTCACGGGATATTTCAGATGATCTAATCCTTCCAGCCGCACTATGGCCCTGGGGTCGACTCAGCCTCTAACAGAAATGAGTACCAGGAATATTCCTGGGGGTAAAGGGCGGCCGGCGCGTAAGGCTGACAACCTCACTGCCATCTGTGAGCCGATTGTCTACGAAATGTGGGAGCCTCGACGTCTCACAACCCTATGGGTCTCCACGGTCTGTTACAGAGATAGTTTTTATCGCCTAACCATTCTGTGGCAGCTAAACAGAAAATGTTATATCGAAGAGCATACGAGGAAGGTTATTTATGACAAGTTTGAAAGGAATGGCGTGAGAGGGATCGTAACATATTTCAAGACATTCACCTGTTGGGGACGAGGCAGACTGAGAAACAAATCGGTCAGTACAAATCATTCGACACGTTACAGTTCTGATGTTCTCACTTTGAAATTCTCTCTGAGCGTGGGGAACGCCTGACCGTATGTATCACGTTAAGTTTACGTTTATCCCCACTGTTTACATTGGTTGATGTTAAGTCTTGCCGCTTCTGTGTGGACATCTTTATAAACACTATTCCTAGAGATTAATCCGAAAATTCAACTCGTATTTTCAGTCTACACTACTCGAGTTATATGAATGTACATTCTTTCAGTTGCTTATTGATCCAAACTCTAAATTCTGACATATGAGAATTAAAATTAATTCCTAGACTAATTGCACACGATCCCACCGCGGCTGCCCGGCTTCGATCCCGGGTCTGGTCAAGTGGGATTTGTGGTGAACAAAATGGCGCTGGGACGGGTTTTCTCCGAGTACTTCGGTTTCCCCTGCCAAACTTCATTCCACGAAATTCTCCACCCGGGGCAGGTACAATAGGCCAATCAATGGCCGACGTGTCGAGTGGATCCAGCCGTACTCCACCCCCCATGTGCAAATTTTATTGCACACAATGGCCTGAAGTTATACAGCGGGACTGAGCAGGCTAGCATAACGGTAACACTCTAGAATTCTACTGTGGAGGTACGCGGTTCGATATACTGACAGAGTAGTAAAATGAATCACGGAAAATATATGGAGACACTTGAATCATAAATTAGACGGGTGCTTGGTGCATAAATTTCGTAACTTGTTTAAACCTTGTCATCCAGTAACCATAGCAGAATGAAATGTTCAGAATAAGAACGCGGCATAGAGATGTTTGAGAAAAGTAGATAGGAGCGCCATCTGTTTTCAATTTACATGGCCCGTTTCCAGAACTTAAATACAGTTTCCCGTTCCTTTTGTTTGAATTTTTCCCCTATAAATCTCACCACAAGACCCAAATGAGAATAAACAGTGTAAGTATGAAAGAATGTTGGTTGTTAGCACAGCTCCGGGGAAACGGTATGCTGCAGATACCCTTCCAAGTTGCTATTTCAGGGGTTACTGGCCCCTGTCCCATATTTATGTGGTCATATATGAACAACAAGAAACGAACGCAATTTCGCGAAATTTACATGCTTACGTCTGATTTCGGGAACCCAGAATAAATAAACGGTAATGTAGTAATATATTTCTGTTTAAAAAATTTTACTGCTATTTCTGCTTTTGCTCACTAACCCTCTAAAGAAAAATGTTTACTACATCCACCACATGTTTTACAATAAAGGAAATGCAATGTGCCGACGGGGTTTATTTGTGTGTTCTATATGATTCCCCCTCCTCAGCAATATTAAACTTTTGGTCTTTGAAACGGAGACAATGTTTTCTGAGCGATACAAACTGAGTATTTAAATATTATTCAGATATAAACGCAGCTAATCAAAAGATAAAAATCTGCCGCTTTTATCAACGACATTTAACAAAATTTAACGTTTTTTGGGGGGAGGGGCTATTTTACGATGCCATGAGTGCAGCATGTAAACTTTGTAGCGTCGACTGGTAGGATGATGAATGATTGATTAAAATGGAAGGGATTTGTAAGGAAGTATTTGGAATCTAATTGAGGTACTTCCCTTGCACTTGCCTCGAAGGATTGAGGGAAACTATGAAATATATTTTTCAATGTGGCCGGTGTCCTGTTCGAGATTCGAACCAAGTACCTCCATCCACGAATACGAATAAATAATATTACTGAAAAATACGGAAATATAACTGTCAACTTGCATTAAATTATTTTAATCTACACTCAGGCTCGTGAACAACGCTCAGGCCCTGGATAACCTCCTTAAATGAAACTAACGTAGTGGGCCCCCAGTTTGGTGTGCTTCCCAACCACAAATCTTGTCTTGACCTAATGTAATAAAGCAGAAAAGGTAACGTTATCCCTAGCTTAGTTAATTAAGTACCACGCCATGAAGAAGTATGGAGGAGTGGAGGTATAGCCACACCATTCTCGATCTTGGTACTGTGCATATGTGAGTGGTCAGCTTCACGCAGTGGCTGCTTTATCCCTGGGGAAAATGCCTCCAGTACCCATTGGATAGGAGGCTAGTTGGGCCCCAGAAAAGAGAAAAATTTCTTAGCCCTGTCGGGAATTGAACCCCAATTCCTCGGTCGTCCAGCCCGTAGCCAAGTCGTCGTATTGACTGAGCGATCTAGGCTCCCTGCTTGCATGTAATGAAGATAAAATATATAGGCTTGATATTGTAGTGCTGTAAGCTGTACGCACTTCGTACGTGTCTTCCGACTGTATACGAGTTTAGCTACTGAAAGCAGCGCCAAGTAACCCACAAATAAACAGATATAATAATGTATTCGATCGGCACTGAAAGACACAGTCGAGTGGAAAGCTCTCCAGCTTCCCGTTCAGGAGATTCGGTGTTCAATTCACGGCCTGAACACTGCCTGTCGTAACTGACTCACTCACTCATGGAGCTCAGCCCTTCTTGAGAAGCCGCCAATTGTG